TTCGTGGACCAACCGAGCAAGATGGCTCACATTGCGGCTGTGCCGGATACCATCGATGGTAAAGGTACAGCAACGCTGTTCTTGGACCGAGTGTTTCGACAACACGGACTCCCGGAGTCGATTGTCTCGGACCGAGACCCCCGCTTCACGGGCAACTTTTGGAGCGCGGTCTTTGCGGTGTTTGGCACCAAGCTGGACATGTCCACGGCGGGCCATCCGCAGACCGATGGTCAGACAGAGCGCGTGAATCGCGTCGTCGAGGACGTGCTCCGAAGCATTTGCGCCGAGACGCAGAAGCGCTGGAGCGCCATGCTCCCACTCGTTGAGTTTGCGTTGAACAACGCCGTGCACGCCTCGACAGGCTACACGCCGTTCTACGTGAACAGCTTGTCTCATCCCCGCGTCCCGCTGACGCCGCCACGTGGTGGCCTCGGGCTTGGTGGGGGAGGAGAAGCCGACTTAGCTGATTGGCTAGCCGATGTCAGCCCGGCTACTGTTCGTAAACAGGGTGACGCTTTCTTGTCGACGCGTCTCAGTGTCTTACGACATGTGCGTGACGCAATGGCTGAAAGCCAAGACAAGCAAAAGGAACATGCAGATGCCAGAGGCAGAGGAAATGTTGAAAGTTATGAAGTCGGGGACCTGGTGCTGCTTAACGCTAAGAACCTACCTACACATGCAGTGTCAGCCGTCTTCAAGACGAAGTTGCGCCCGCGCTTCATCGGCCTTTTCAAGGTTGTGGCCAAGAAGGGCCTTGCATACACACTCAATCTTCCGAAGAAGATGCGGACGCACCCCGTCGTCTACGTGGGCTTGCTCAAGCCGTACCAGGACCCGATGCAGGTGCAGATGGAGGCACCGAGGGTGACGAGGCCACAGGTGAGGAGGTCGCGGTCGTCGAGGACGCGGCCATCAACGCGGGCACCGCAGGCACAGGCGGAAGAATCGGCGCTGGAGGTGCCGCGGGCACAGCGAGAGCCGCAGGCGCAGGAGGCGCAGCAGTCGGAGCCTGCATGCGACCAGGAGGTCGAGCTGACCCTGAAGGACAGCCTGCTGACGCTGTAGCTCCCCGAGCTCCCGGCCACGCTGCTCATCGCGATCGCGATAGTATCGCACCCAGTCCTCCAGGGCCCCAAGGCGGTCCCAGACCTCTCGAGGCACCTCGATCCATCGCGTCCGCTCGGCGAGTTCGTCGAGTTCGGTGGCAGTCCGGCCCAGACGCGCATCAAAGTCATGGATATGATCCCGAAGGCGACCCGCCTGCTGCCGCGCCTCCAAGAGCTCACCTTGAGTCGCAAAGGGCCCCCCAGCGGCCTCCACCGGCTCTGTTCGATGAGCATGGGAATCTACATTACCATGTGGAGCGCCTCCTGGCGAAGCGGCGGTGCCGGGGTCAAAACCAGTATCTGGTGAAATGGCGAGGGTACTCTCACTCCGAGAACTCATGGGAGTTTGAGGTGCCCCTCCGCCAAGACTGCCCAGACGTCGTGGACGCTTTTGATCAGCTTGATCACCAGCGCCCCGATGGCTCAAGGCCGGCACGCCGACCGTCCCGCGCTTCCCGGCAATAAGCTGGGGAGCTGCTGGGTCAGCCACATTGCTTCGAGGCTGACCCCGAGCCACATCGCTCACTCCCTCGCGGGAAGGAGCGGCTGGAGTGCTCGAAGGAGCGAAGCGCGCAGCGCTAAACTGGGTCTGCGGCTGGGCGAGTGCCGAGAGGCTGCGCTTGGCTCGGACCTTCGCGAAATCGAAGCGGAGCTTGCGTTCAATGCGAACATCCGCTTCACTGAAGCTGGCTCGGAGAGCGTCCATGGAGCTGAGCTTCCGGCTGTGCTCGGCCCAAGACTCGAACTGAGCTTCGTACTCAATCGAGTCTTCCCCCGGGCTGAGTACGACCAGGTACGTCCGCATGGCGGGCACGGACTTCTGCTGGGCTTGCAGCCGCAGTCTCTCGCAATACTCCGCGACAGTCGTAGACTGTGGAGCCGCTCTCGCAGAGACGTACGCAGTGCGAGCTCCTCCGGAGTACGGGCCGTGGGCCCAATGGCGTGCAGCGCGAGAGACTGCTGGCGACAAGCCTCCGCGGGGTCGCGAGGCCGGAAGCCGTAGGCGGCAGCGCCGGGGTTCAGCAGAGGCCGCCGCTCGGGGCTCAGGGAGCGCATGGGAGCCATCTGCGCCGCAACCTTCTCGGACTGAGCTTCGTCCAAGGGGTTGGAGATGACGGGGCCCAGGGGCACGTCTTCTACACGAAGCGGCGAATACCGCGGCTCCGTGAGCTCGCGCAGCTCGTAGAGACCGGAGGAGCGTTCACGGAAGTTGAGGGAACGGGTTCGGAGTTCGCAGCGGTGGCCGCGGCTCCTCCCTCGACGGCGCAGCGCGCTCTGCAGGTGGACGGCTCGGCGAGCGCACAGGAGACGTGCGCGCGGGGCGCTCTTTGTCACGACGGCTCGGAGAGCCAACTGGGGCCGGCGAGCCTTCTTCACGGCGTGTCGACAGTGCAGCGGGGCTGCCGTAGCTTTGCGTCAGAGGAAGCTTAACAGACTCACAGAGTCTCAGCTTAAGATAGCCCGTTCTAATACCAGAACGTACGAGTCCGTACACCTTACGGACTCCAAGAGTTAGCCCTTAACTCTTAACTGTGTGAATCTCACACTGCATGTATTTCCCTTTAGCGCGGCCAAGCCGCCTACGGTGTAAATGTATCCGGTTCACTATCTAGCATAGTGAACCCTAGTCATATGCATAATTGGTGGCTCTGAAGCAGTGTACTCATTATCCTACTGATTTAGGTTAGACATTGTGTACCCACTTCGTAACCCTTCGGGTAACTCTCGTGTAACCCCGTTACACCCTCCCCACCAAACCGTGGACACGGGTGTTCACGCTTAACGGTCAACCTCCGGGTTTTGTTCCGTCAAGCCTCCTTCTCGAACGAGTCAATCCACATCGTGTGGACTTCTCTGAGAACTTCTCGGCGGAACGCGCCCTCACATGACTTTAAGTCATAAAGCCTTTTGGTATTTCCACCGCAGACAGCCTCTCGCGAGATCCGCCTCGGAGCCTCGCTCCTCTCGTGCTGCTGCACTGCGTGCCTCCGAACCTTCAAGAACGCTAGCGCCCGCGCGCAAACCCTCGACGCCTTCCAGGCTCGCGGTGTCCGAGTACTTCGCGGCGCAACGCCAGAAGCACAGTTTGCAAGCCCCAGCTCCCCTCAAGCATCAACCCGCCAGATCATGGATCCTAGGGAACACTTTGGTGAAGAGGGCGAGGTGGACGAGTCCATGCTGGGTTCTCCAAACCGAGGAGATGCGTCCCCAGCCATGCGACGCACCACGAGCCGCAGCGACGCTTCACCCACGCCGACGACACGCCGTGAAGAAGGCTCGCCGGCCCCAGTTGGCTCTCCGAGCCGTCGTGACAAAGAGCGCCCCGCGCGCACGTCTCCTGTGCGCTCGCCGAGCCGTCCACCTGCAGAGCGCGCTGCGCCGTCGAGGGAGGAGCCGCGGCCACCGCTGCGAACTCCGAACCCGTTCCCTCAACTTCCGTGAACGCTCCTCCGGTCTCTACGAGCTGCGCGAGCTCACGGAGCCGCGGTATTCGCCGCTTCGTGTAGAAGACGTGCCCCTGGGCCCCGTCATCTCCAACCCCTTGGACGAAGCTCAGTCCGAGAAGGTTGCGGCGCAGATGGCTCCCATGCGCTCCCTGAGCCCCGAGCGGCGGCCTCTGCTGAACCCCGGCGCTGCCGCCTACGGCTTCCGGCCTCGCGACCCCGCGGAGGCTTGTCGCCAGCAGTCTCTCGCGCTGCACGCCATTGGGCCCACGGCCCGTACTCCGGAGGAGCTCGCACTGCGTACGTCTCTGCGAGAGCGGCTCCACAGTCTACGACTGTCGCGGAGTATTGCGAGAGACTGCGGCTGCAAGCCCAGCAGAAGTCCGTGCCCGCCATGCGGACGTACCTGGTCGTACTCAGCCCGGGGGAAGACTCGATTGAGTACGAAGCTCAGTTCGAGTCTTGGGCCGAGCACAGCCGGAAGCTCAGCTCCATGGACGCTCTCCGAGCCAGCTTCAGTGAAGCGGATGTTCGCATTGAACGCAAGCTCCGCTTCGATTTCGCGAAGGTCCGAGCCAAGCGCAGCCTCTCGGCACTCGCCCAGCCGCAGACCCAGTTTAGCGCTGCGCGCTTCGCTCCTTCGAGCACTCCAGCCGCTCCTTCCCGCGAGGGAGTGAGCGATGTGGCTCGGGGTCAGCCTCGAAGCAATGTGGCTGACCCAGCAGCTCCCCAGCTTATTGCCGGGAAGCGCGGGACGGCCGGCGTGCCGGCCTTGAGCCATCGGGGCGCTGGTGATCAAGCTGATCAAAAGCGTCCACGACGTCTGGGCAGTCTTGGCGGAGGGGCACCTCAAACTCCCATGAGTTCTCGGAGTGAGAGTACCCTCGCCATTTCACCAGATACTGGTTTTGACCCCGGCACCGCCGCTTCGCCAGGAGGCGCTCCACATGGTAATGTAGATTCCCATGCTCATCGAGCAGAGCCGGTGGAGGCCGCTGGGGGGCCCTTTGCGACTCAAGGTGAGCTCTTGGAGGCGCGGCAGCAGGCGGGTCGCCTTCGGGATCATATCCATGACTTTGATGCGCGTCTGGGCCGGACTGCCACCGAACTCGACGAACTCGCCGAGCGGACGCGATGGATCGAGGTGCCTCGAGAGGTCTGGGACCGCCTTGGGGCCCTGGAGGACTGGGTGCGATACTATCGCGATCGCGATGAGCAGCGTGGCCGGGAGCTCGGGGAGCTACAGCGTCAGCAGGCTGTCCTTCAGGGTCAGCTCGACCTCCTGGTCGCATGCAGGCTCCGACTGCTGCGCCTCCTGCGCCTGCGGCTCTCGCTGTGCCCGCGGCACCTCCAGCGCCGATTCTTCCGCCTGTGCCTGCGGTGCCCGCGTTGATGGCCGCGTCCTCGACGACCGCGACCTCCTCACCTGTGGCCTCGTCACCCTCGGTGCCTCCATCTGCACCTGCATCGGGTCCTGGTACGGCTTGAGCAAGCCCACGTAGACGACGGGGTGCGTCCGCATCTTCTTCGGAAGATTGAGTGTGTATGCAAGGCCCTTCTTGGCCACAACCTTGAAAAGGCCGATGAAGCGCGGGCGCAACTTCGTCTTGAAGACGGCTGACACTGCATGTGTAGGTAGGTTCTTAGCGTTAAGCAGCACCAGGTCCCCGACTTCATAACTTTCAACATTTCCTCTGCCTCTGGCATCTGCATGTTCCTTTTGCTTGTCTTGGCTTTCAGCCATTGCGTCACGCACATGTCGTAAGACACTGAGACGCGTCGACAAGAAAGCGTCACCCTGTTTACGAACAGTAGCCGGGCTGACATCGGCTAGCCAATCAGCTAAGTCGGCTTCTCCTCCCCCACCAAGCCCGAGGCCACCACGTGGCGGCGTCAGCGGGACGACAAGCTGTTCACGTAGAACGGCGTGTAGCCTGTCGAGGCGTGCACGGCGTTGTTCAACGCAAACTCAACGAGTGGGAGCATGGCGCTCCAGCGCTTCTGCGTCTCGGCGCAAATGCTTCGGAGCACGTCCTCGACGACGCGATTCACGCGCTCTGTCTGACCATCGGTCTGCGGATGGCCCGCCGTGGACATGTCCAGCTTGGTGCCAAACACCGCAAAGACCGCGCTCCAAAAGTTGCCCGTGAAGCGGGGGTCTCGGTCCGAGACAATCGACTCCGGGAGTCCGTGTTGTCGAAACACTCGGTCCAAGAACAGCGTTGCTGTACCTTTACCATCGATGGTATCCGGCACAGCCGCAATGTGAGCCATCTTGCTCGGTTGGTCCACGAAGACCACGACTCCAGTGTTGCCCGCCGCGTCCGCCGGCAGGCCAAACACAAAGTCCATACTCATGGATTGCCAACAGCCCGAAGGGACAGGCAAACTCGCCAACGGCGCTGCAGCATGAGGTGACGACTTCACTCAGTGCGATCGGCACTCTTGGCGGTGTCGTCACCACCGGCAGTGGTGCTTCCTGCACAGTCGGTCCACGAAGACCACGACTCCAGTGTTGCCCGCCGCGCCCGCCGGCAGGCCAAACACAAAGTCCATACTCATGGATTGCCAACAGCCCGAAGAGACAGGCAAACTCGCCAACGGCGCTGCAGCATGAGGTGACGACTTCACTCGCTGACACGTCTCGCACGTGCGCACGTAAGTGCTCGTCCACTTGTGCATCTTTGGCCACCAGTAGTGGGTGCCCACCGAGCTGTAGGTCTTCTCATGGCCAAGATGGCCGGCCAGCGGCGTGTCGTGTGCCTCATAGAGGATGCGGTACTTCAGATCCTCATCATGAGGGATGACCACGCGGGGCGTATCCTCGGGGCCACTGTTGTAGAACAACAGGCCTCCATCGAGGGAATAACGGTATAGCCGCGCGTGCAGCCGCACTGACAGTTCCATGTCCGAGTCTTGAAACTCCTTGCTCCCCAGAGTGAGGCGATGCGGCTGAACGCCTTTATCGTCCAGGTGTATAGCGCACTATGCCGGACCGAAATGAATTCGGGTTCGGAGTACCAGAGATTGTCCACGCGATAAGCAGCCCACGGGACACTGAATGACCCGGGCCTGGAACCGCTTGGACGCACCGAATCGCACTAATGCAGTCCGGTGTTTGGCGTGTGTCCTTGTATCAACCCCTATAGGTATCGTTTACCTTTGGCGGACCGGATTTCACCGAGTTGAGTTGTTGCGATACAGAATAAAGTCTGCTGGGTGTGTTCCTGGGATAAACCGCACCGAATTAACAGAAGGTCAGACCGAATGAAAGGGACCACAGTCAGATCCGTAATTCAGAATAACCAACACACAGAAATACAATGCCGAGCTAAACGTCACAAAATATACAGCCACCACTTATTCTTTGAGACCCTTGGGTGGGGGGTCTATACACCAGTCAACTTCGGAGCCGTCACCCACGGCACTGGTCAGCCCTGGATGCACACTCACTTATGCGCACCACCCTCACAGAATGAGGGAACAATACAAAATATAATGCAGTCCTATCACACAGTAGTCAATCAATTCGGTCTGGGGGGGTGACTACCTCAACCACCAAAGACACACAGTAGGGAATATGAAATGGATGCCCGGTTAGAGCACGCAAATAGAAATTAAAGCTCTCACAGGTCACTCCGGGGCGCGAAACCCCAGTCACTGCCGACTTTGTCTTGGTACCTTTGAGTCCCCACTACACCAGTGCTAGCTACACCAGTGAGGCCTTCGAAGCGTCCCTAAACTGGCTTAGACCGCGCGCAGACAGTCTCCTGGAGGGCTCTTGAAGACGTCAAAGTCGGGGTGCTACTTCTGCCCCGAGCACAGAGTCGCCCGCGTGTTCTTCGGCAAATTGGTTTCTGTTTAGATCTTACGTTTGCCTAGCTATCTTCTATCACTTCGCTGACTTTAATGTAGGTTTCACTATGCTTCGCTTGTCTTGAGTATGCTTGTGTTTCTTGGCAGTTCTTCAGTATGCTTGTCTTGGTTTCGGTATGCGGAGACTTGTTGACGGCGACACTTGTTCGGGTACACTCATCAGATGATGACGGAGGTATCTGGGTACATCGTCTCTTCGTCTTGGAACTGGACCTCTCCCTTGGATCTGCGGCTCATTCGGTGCTGCCCGTGGATCTTGGGGGATCTTGGTCTTGTCCGGTCTGGATCGACGCCGCTGTGCGAACACACGCGGCGCGCACTGGGCTTGTTCTTGGTGCGTCTACATCCAGTGTGGGCACGGGGGGCGGACCGAATGAACGATCCGGTCTGTCCCCATCCGGTGTGGCACTACTTCATTCGGTACGCCATCACCGGGTGCACCACGATCCGGTCCGGACAACACGAGGCTTCATCCAGCAGGGTCTTGCGTGCGCATGATCGTGTCTGGGGGGCCGATTCAGTGGGGTAGCCCGACAACTTGACTGAGCCAATGCAGGCAGTGGCCAGGATACGTTCGCTGGCCACACTTTCGCGCCTTGGGCCTATCCTCCAGTTAGGGAAGTCGGCGGACGGACAGGATGCGTGACTCCACACCGAATATGAGGGCTCATCAGGTGGGCGCATCTCCAATCCTGTGCAGCCTTCAGCTGGCGAGATTCGAACGCAACCACGCGCTCGCGCCCCTCGGCGTCTGCTTGCAGCAGTGCACAGCCGATGGCAAAGTCCGAGGCGTCACAGACGACACTAAACGGACGAGCGGGGTCTGGCAAATCCAGAATAGGCGCATGAAGGAGACTGTCCTTAATGGCCGCGAACGCATCGTGATGCTCGGTGTCCCAACACCACTCCACATCCTTCTTCAGGAGATTGGAGAGTGGCCGAGCCATCTCAGCGTAGTTCTCGCTGTACTTGTGCAAGTAATTGGCCAAGTCAAGCCACTTGCGAAGATCCTTCTGGCTCTTCGCAAGTGGCCAGTCAACAATGGCCTTGACCTTGACCGGGTCGGCCCTCAGGCCACGCTTCCCGATGAAGCACCCTAAGAAGGGGATCTCTTCCGCTCCGAAGATGCATTAGTCAATGTTGGCGTACAACTTGTTTTGACGCATGCATTCGAGCACAGCACGCAGGTGCTCCACATGGTTCTCCATATCAGTCTTTCCGTGCTCCGCACGACTGTGGACAAAGATGTCATCGAAGTACGTTTGCGCGTACGCCCGATGGGGCCTGAAGAGCTGCGTCACAAGACGATTAAACGTCGCTGGCGCGTTCGAAAGCCCTTGGGGCATCACCAACCACTCCCAGAGCATGTCGCTCGTCCTCATGAGCAATTGGTAATATCCACCGACCAAGTCGAGCGCACTGTACATCGTACATCCTGTCATGTTGTTCTGAAGAACATCCTTCCGAGGAATCGGCGTCTGCGCCGGAATGGTAGCGGCATTCAGCTCGTTGAAAGCATGCACGATACGCCACTTGCCATTCGGCTTTCTAACACAGAACGTCGGCGTAGAGTGTGGAGACTTCCTCTCACGCACCATGCCCGCCTCGTGCTTCGCACGGAAGAACGCGTCAATGACGTCACACTACTCCTTCGGCGAGGGCCACTGCCTCGTCACGCAGTACTTCGTTCCCGGAACAAGATCGATTTCGTGTCGAACACCTCGATCCGGAGGTAGCCCCGAGGGCGGCTCCTTCGAGACCACGTCCTGGTAATCATTTACCACTTGATACAAGGGATCCGACGGGTCCTTCATGATCGCCGATCCGCTCCGCGCATTCAGCGCCTTCTTGGTGTCTTCCAGGACAGCTTCATCCAGAAGCGAGGACGAGTTCAACTCTTCTTCGGGTCGTATGACCACTACATCGGCCAAGTCTCCAGCCTTCAAGGCTTCGCCGAACTCGGCCAAAGACATCTCGTCCGGCTCCAGGAGAGCAGACAGTGAGGGCAAGTCGTCGAGGTTGATACCTCCGTCGACGTCTCCCGTCACTCCATTCACGAATGTATAGAGCTGCTCGCTCTCGGGTGGAGCCTCACCGCTCGACACACCCTTCTCGACTCGTGAGATCGCAGACGCCTTGCGTCTCGCAGCCAGCGCTTTGCAGCGCTGCCTCCTCTTCATGGACACCGTCCGCCCTGAAGAGCTCCGTGATTTCGCGTGCGTCTTGACGCCATGTGTCACCGCCTCGTTCAGCTCCAGGGGAGCTCCAGTGTCTTTATCGACACTCAGCGAAGAGCTGCACGATCCGCAGCCTCCACTCAGTGGATTACGTGCCACCCCCACGATCTTTATCCGGGCAAAGCCCATGGTCCTTCGGCATCGCACCGACCGCGCCGTCGCTGGCACGCAGCAGGGCGCCGCCCTCCGACGCACCCCCGCTCAGCGGAATTAGTGCCGCTCCACCTGCCGTCCGCAAGTCAAGCTCGGAACGCTCGTTCTCGACACACGCAGTCCCCACCAACTCGGATACTCCGATGTCCAGCACATTGACCGACTCGGTCCAGTGCTCGCGCCAAAAGCGCTTCTGCTTCCTAGCAGAGGTGGGTTCATGACTCGCCAAAGCTCCACCAGGAGAGAAGTGCGTAGCACCAAGGGTCTCCGACCTCCAATTGATCCAAGGCTCGTGGCGTTCCAGCCATGCCATACCAAGGATGAGATCCTATCTCGAATCGAGGGCTAAGACCAGACAGCGTTCCACGCTATCGAAATCCAAAACCTTCACGCCCAGGTCCACGCGAGACGAACAGTGACGATGTCACTTCCGCGCGCTATCAGCACCTCAGCATAAAGCTGACTTCCGTGCATCGTAGAACGCCGGGCGTAGTTACCCGACGCTCCCGAATCGATCAAAATCGTCCATGGCTTCGCGAAGCCTTTCACCCAAGCTTGGACAACTAGCAAGCCCGGCTTGCATACACGTTCCGTGTTAGAGAGTACTCCTCTCTTCGGGGCTAAGTCCTGTCGAACTCGACCTCGCCGAGGCTCAATAGATCTTAGTACTTCCCCAGTAGGCCGCCCCGCGCCTACTGGGTCTTCTCGTTTCCCCGAGACGAACCAGAGCCCTGGCTCGAACTCGAAGAGTGGCTTGACGAAGCCTGGCGCTGATGGCGCAGCGGACACCCAGCACGAAGGTGACGGGTGTCACCACAGATGAAGCATCGGCGGATACCGCGACGCTGCTGAGCAGCACGGAGCTCGGCTTCTTCGTCTTCAGCATAGCTGAGGTCCATGGGTTCCGGACCACTCGACGCGCTAGCGTAAGACGCATTCCACCCAAGTCTCGACGACTTAAAGTTGTGTTCCGCATTCAATGCGACGCTCACAGCCTCTTCAAAAGAGCTCGGGTGGGTTCGGAACACCTCCGTCCTGGCAACGCCAGTGCGGAGGCCCTCCATGAACACCGTAACGGTGACTGCTTCCGGCGGGGGGTCCGCAGACATGCCAGCAATGAGAGTTCTCAACTCTTGGACATAGTCCATCAACTCCTTCTTGCTCTGCCTGGTCGCCAGGAAGCGTGAGCGCACGCGATACGCCTCGTTAGGCGGAGCAAACACTCGGGACAATTGCTGTTTCAGCTGGTCCCACCTCGGGAAGGCCACCTCGACCGACATCCCGGACGTTAGTGCCCACTCTCTCGCTCGCCCACCGAGCTTCGAGATAGCTAGTGCCACGCGCTGCGACTCCGTCCGGAGTAGAGCTGAGCTCATAGCCATCTCAACCCCACGGGCCCAAAGCATCAAGCTTTCACCTTCCTTGCCTTCGAAGGTCTTCACGCTCAACATGAGCGGCTTGGGTCTTGTTCCCGCGTCGGACGACGAAGGGGGCGCCACGGCAGTCGCCATCCTCTGCTTGAGGTGCTCTAGCAGAGCATTCTCGTAGCATGAAAACGCCTCGAGACGCGCGTTCACCGCGTCGGGGCCTTGCTGCGCAAGTTGCGTCACACCCTCCGGGCCCAGCAAGGACATAAGCTTTTTAAGCGCATCCTGCTTGTTCGGGGGCAAGTGAGCGAACTGCTCCATTCTCCACAGAGGGTCAGTCTATACAGACTCAGGTGTCGGATTGACTACAAGTGCTACGAAGTGCAGCGGGGCTACCGTAGCTTTAGCGCCAGAGGAAGACGTAACAGACTCACAGAGTCTCAGCTTAAGATAGCCCGTTCTAATACCAGAACGTACGAGTCCGTACACCTTACGGACTCCAAGAGTTAGCCCTTAACTCTTACCTGTGTGAATCTCACACTGCATGTATTTCCCTTTAGCGCGGCCAAGCCGCCTACGGTGTAAATGTATCCGGTTCACTATCTAGCATATTGAACCCTAGTCATATGCATAATCAGTGGCACTGAAGCCGTGTACTCATTATCCTACTGATTTAGGTTAGACATTGTGTACCCACTTCGTAACCCTTCGGGTAACTCTCGTGTAACCCCGTTACACAAAATAGTAAAGCCCCCGCAACACCACTGCACTCATTAATCGCCTGTACGTCAAATATTGCATAAAAATTTGGCGTGTGGAAATAATTCGCTCAGATCAGGGCTGGTCATGTGAGAGCATCGGCGTTCTCGAGTTTTGTGCTGAGGAGTGCATTGAGCTGAAGCAAACCCAATGAATAAATTCCTTAACAGAGCGGTATGCTCGAAGGAGCTCGTGACATTGTGCTGCCCAAGACCCGTGTACTACACATGATCTGCTGTGGGCTCTCCCCAAGCAGAGCTCCGTTTTCTCGAAACCTGCAAAATAAAAAGTGTTTTTTGTGAGTAACCCAAGAGTAACCTACCACTGTATCCAACGGGTTACACATTAGCATATCGACATTTCCCTCGTTTTCGAGCGTCTGGCGGCGTTGACGCTGCGGTAGCTCCGTTTTTCGCACGCTTTGCGCTCGGCTGCATTTGGGCCCTACATACAAACATCAAGTATCGGCTCCGTTTTCTTCCGTTCATTTCAAAAGAGTTTCGCCATGGCGCACCACTACAATCTGCTGCATCTACACAAGTTCAACTTCAACGCCGTCATGGAGGCGACGACGGACGAGACGAAGGCCGACACTTGGGCCATGGACGTGGGGCTCTTAGCGAAGGCCATGCTCCGCCCTCAGTGCACCCGCCCCATGCGCCTCAACGTGCAGTCGCGGTGAGCTTCATCTTGGAGAACCACGAGTTCACCAAGATGATGCTCACCCTCCCGCAAGCCGTTCGCCTCATCTTCGCGTGGTGCATGCGGATCCCGCAGACCCAAGCTGCCCACATGGCAAAGATCAGCGAGAACACGGTGTCGGACTGGTACGCTGCGTGCCGCGCCCTGTGCTCAAAGGAGCTGTTGGATGGCGAGTTTATTGTGCTGTCTAATTGTATGCTTCCTAACTGTAAGTGTCATGTAGATCGGTGGTGACGGTCTCATCGTTGTGATCGACGAGACCAGCCTCAAGAAGAAGTCGAAGTACGGGCGCGGCCGCTACTACAAGGAGTTCTGGCTGTTCGGGAGCGTGGATAGGGCCACTGGTCAATGGTTCGGCCGGACCGCGTTCGACAAGCGCACGAAGGCAACCCTGTTGCCCATTATTAAGAGGTTTATCAAGCCCCGCCGTTTTCCCAATCCTGTTTTTTTTTAAACTGACTTGAAAGTGTAACCTTACTGTAACTTACAGTAGTCTTACTGCACACCCTACTCTTCCTGCTTGGGGTGGCGAATGATGGCATGTACAAGGCCGCACATGTGCTCGCCTGGAGAGGGAAAACCCACGATCTCCACTTAAACTTGTCGATGTACCCGTCCAGGTATTTCTGACTCATTCCGTGTATCGCCTTGATGAGGCGCTTAATGTGCATCTCCCACAGGCCCTCGATCGTGTTCGTGTGCGTGCCCGAAACGGGGTCCACAAAGTTGAGCGTGTGGTTGACCCAGCTGTGTCCGTAGTGCATACTGGCCAACGTTGCGTTGTTGCTCAGCGTGTGAACGCGGGAGCCACGCTCAGCCACGTAGGTGGCGAACTTGTCGGAGTGAATACGAGCTCTGTATACCATAGGCATCATACAATTAGCAGCGAAGTAGATGAGCAGTATGTAGAGTGGACTGAAGATGTTCGTCAGTCGCTGTCCGTATTTCACGATTAGCTCTATAAAACGCCTAACGATATCGACTTGTGTCCGAACTCGATGCGGGAACAAGTCTGTCCTATACCGTGGAAGAAGCTATAGTTCAACGCCTTAGAAGTAGCTACAGTAGATGGAATTTCACGCGACATGTTCAGGACATCATATACGTAGTCGCGTCGTTTTTCTTCGTCGCCACAACATCCTCATTCGCGCAAGGTCTAACAACGCACAGAGACGTCACAATATCACGGATGCGTTCATGAACCGATGTACCAGCACAACGTTAACGATTTCACCACGGACCAGACAGGTACACAGTGCAGAACATCGGCAGCATGAGCAACTACTCTAGTTTTATTATTTCATGGTGTAGCTTACTTTCTTTGAGTATATACGCGGCAAAACGGTTATCCCTCCTGAAGAGAAGGTTGCATAAAGCAAGGGTAGCGGTAGCCCTATAATAAAATCTGACTTGGTTTCACTAATGATAAAAATAGAATGATAACATTTTTTTAGCAGATTCACATGGAAACAAGTGGAGCCTTTCATTGAGTTTAAGACCAATACGGCCGTCATGAATACATTCAGGATGCCACGGGTCTAGTAACTGCATTGGGAAGGCGGCCCTCCGATCTACTGAAATCGTGTGGCATGGTGGAATGTTCAAATTACGCGCATGTTTTTAGACTATCCCTTTTAACATAGCGCTATTATGGAGGAGACGCAGTTACTGTCTGAAACGATTCCCCAGTGTCTAGGGCCGTAAAGTCAAGGACTACGCAGTCTGGATTAATGGTCTGCTTGTTAAAGTACCCCCTGGCTACACCTGCATTCGTCCTACTTTCATCGAAGCCAGTGTGGATGAGCTCTAAAATTGTATCAACCTGACAATATCAATCATCCACAACGAAGAAAAACGTCTACAGTAAAACAAGAACTGTAGTACCGTACATGACAGAAAAAAACATACGACAAAACTCGGCATTTTCGGCTTTTTTTTCGAAAAAATGACAAAACCTGGTATTTTGCCAGGTTTTACATGACACAAGTCGGCTTTTTGGGACAACGACGATGACACAGTAACAAGGCATTTTGAGAGCTTTGACCTGACATAATAAGGTAAAATACTATATTTAACGGGCAGTATGCTTAATAACTGTAATATTAAAACTAGTAGTGGAGCATTTCGGTCGCGTTGCTCCTTTGAGTTGCTTAGGAGGCCGACACCCTGCAGTGCAATCTCCACTGCAGGCCGACGTCCTGGCCCTCCCAATCGATCTAATGAAGCTATTGATTAATTGGATCTAAGCCATCACGTGCAGACACGGACGCGGACGCGATGGTGGCGGGCGACTCGGGCAGCAAGCACAACGGCGGCCGCAGCGCCGCCGTGTGTGCCGTCAACAACATGGTCTCGGAGGCTTCCGCGGCGACCGTGGCCGTGTTGGGTGTGATCGGGGGCGTCTCCACTGGCATGGTCACGAACGCGACGGTGACATGGTCTCGAACGCGACGGTGGCATTCGGCTCGGGCAGCGAGCGCAACGACAGCGGCAGTCCGCACGCAGGTTGCCGCCGGTAGTAGCGTCAGCGGCGTCGCCAGCGACATCGACAGCAGGTTTTCAGGCGCGATGGAGGTGACTCTGACCTTGGGGGATGCGGTCAGAGCTACGATGTCCGTGCAAGACGTTGATGTAGATGTGTACAATGGCTGATATATGTTATTGGCTCTACAGGTAATGAACAGTGGGATGAACATGTCTGACAAACGAAGTATATTGAATGTCCTTTTCCATTCTGCGCGAGGTACTTAGATGTAGGGCTCTACAACCCTGGTGTACCAGTATGCGTGATGAAGCTGGGAAGACCAAGACACTTGAACGTCGATACGCTGTCGGAGCGTCCAGACAGAGCAGAAGTTGCGCGGGCAGGTTGGGCGGTGCCGGCCGCAAATTGTTGCCATGACAACGACGTGGACCAAACCTGCTGCTGAAGATGCAAAGTCCTCCAGCGCCGCAAAACTTGTAGGCTCGAAAACGATATTGTTCGCAAATAAAACACTGCACCCCTCAATATCCTCGCGTACGGCTGGGCTCATCGCTCTGAGGTCGGCCTCGTGAATCGTGACCTTGGATAAATTCGGGAAATCCACGCGTGCGCCACGAATCAGCAGTTTGGACATGTTTGCCAAGTTGTCCTGGAACTCAATCCCGATGCATCTCCCAACACAAGTCTCCAATGCCACTTGTGCAACCACGTTGCCGATCCCAGATCCAAAGTCAACAAAAGTTTCGGCGATTGTAAGCGTTGGAATGACTGCCAGTATTGCTGAAACCCCAGTTGGCGAAATCTCACCAGCATGACAATCCGGCGCATGGACGGGTTGACGCAAGGCCGAGGCATACAAACTTGACACAGCGTCATGAACGTTGCCAACATTATCGGGAGCGCTCAACTTGTGGCCACCACTAAGCGCGTCCGTGCCGATTTTTGATCCCGAAATCTCCTTGGGAAAGAATCTAAGCTCACGCCGTGTGTCCTCTTCAGCGTCTTTAGACGAATCTGCAGCTGTCGCTGTGTCTTCCCGCAGTATGGCATCCCCAACCAGACAGTCCGCCAGTTAATTCGGCGGCCTGCATCAACCTGCTCCTTTGCCAGCCGATAAAGCAGCAAGTCCTCTTCGTCCGAGAAGTCTGCCATCGGGTTGCCACGAGATCTAGAAATCTATAATGCCATACATACCATAAGATATTTGGTCTCATACTTCTTCGCCTGATAACCTACCGACCTTTCACAAAGGTCCCATCCCCATCAATGTACTCAACACCAGGTTCAAGACACTCCTACCGCCAGCAAGGCAACTAAGCCCGGCTATCGATGCCGCTGCTATAAACGCTCTCGTGGCGCTGCCCAGCCAACACGAAAGCACCCCTATTAGCCTCATCGACCGCGCCGAATGCCACCGTCACGTTCGTGACCATGCCAGCGGAGACGCCCCCGATCACGTCCAACACGGCCACGGTCGCCGCGGAAGCCTCCGAGACCATGCTGTTGACGGCAGACACGGCGGCGCTGCGGCCGCCGTTGTGCTTGCTGCCCGAGTCGCCCGCCACCATCGCATCCGTGTCGCCGACGGCGGAGACGTTTCCGACCAGGTCCATCAAGACCATGATTGGGGGAATGCCGATGGTAGGGCGTTTCGGCGAGGGAGAACGGGTAGAGCGGTCACGATACATAATGTCACATAAATAGACTATTGGTATTTGAAGTGGTTTACACAACATGTAAAGGCTCGCCTTTTTGGTGCCCATTTTGCTTTGGTTGATCTTTTCAAGCTTTCCCGCGCTGACATTTTTTTCCATGTCTTCGCTTTGACCAATCAAAACCTGTCTCCGAAAAATCGATGACAGTGATTGGCTGCCAAAGTTCAACAAGAAGTGTGATTGGTGGAATTAGTTCAAATCGATCCACTGTTGTTTGGTCGGCTTGCTCGGCTTGCTCCGAATCAAAATGACGTTCTCGCATCGGAGCTCATTTCCGATTTTGCAAGCTCGATCCCAAGTGTCCCTGGCTGACCACGCTCCGTTCTTCCGGTTTCCACGCCTCGAACGACGGTGGTACACATGTGCTGGCCGTACCCATCGTTTACGGCGCGTGGCTGCCCGTGATACTATGCACGCTGCGGTCAAGTCCAGCCTGCCAGTTCGCCCCTCACTCTCCAAGTCCAGCGTCGTTGGAGTCGCCACACGCTCAGCTCCTGTGTGTCGACGCATCTGCTGCTGCTGACCGCCTGTGCTACTTGACGCGCTGACCTCGGGACGCACCGGGCATGAAGTTGGACTCGCTGTCCGTCGTGTACCCACCCGACGTCCACGTCCCGCACAATCGCCGCAACAGCGCATTTGTTGTCGATAACGCAGTGCTACTAGAACTGGCGCTGGGATGGTGTCGTTTGTCCCGTAGCCCCCAACTCTCCTCACGGCATTGCCGCCGGGTGTGGCTGTCAACCACGTTCAGCTGCGAGACGCCGAGATTCCGCTACAGGACCCCGAGATGGAGCGTCGGAGGCGGCACTGGACGACTGCCCACTAGACCTGCAGGTGGACGGCGTTCTCCCGCCCTTTTTCGCTTCCAGCGATCCTCATCGACGGACAACCGCACGTAGATGCCTCAGGAGGGAGCGGGGTGCCACCGGCGACAAAGATCAAGAGAGGCTACCGCTAGAAATGGAGCGTTCGAGTCCCATCGGGGGTCAAGATGGAGCCTGAAGTCGCCATGACGACGACGTCGCAAGCGCCCAATTTGCCCAGCGACAGGGACACGCAGGCGGCATTGGCACTTGGCAGCAGTGTATCTACGATGGGCGTCACCACTGTCGCCGTGTACCGTAGTTCGGACCGTCACTATGGGGCTTGCATGGGTCAACGTAACTGTGGAGACGATGCCGAAGCCGCTACAGCACTTACATTTGGTAGCAATACTGGAGTAAATCTAAGTACCGTATGTTACCGTTGAACGCTTTGAGTACTCGTACTATTCATGACTCTGTGTAATTACACTGTATTCATCCCGCACTCGATATCCGATGCATTTTGCACGGTACCTTGTCAGCACAGCTACGCTGCATTCCGCATGGCGGGCATTGAACCTGCACCGGTGGGTTCAAACTCCACCATACTAACATCACATACAACGATGAGTCGAACCACCCCATACAAAGCCTAGTACGTTCGGTCCCTTTGAACACTTCGAACATGGCCATACAAATAACAATATATTCGGTCCAATGGCTCAAGCGAGACCGATGCATGCAAACCAGTTAGAGATCTTTGCCGTGAAGGAGCCACTGGTACGCTAGCTGAGCTCGTCCACCACCACATACCCAATGCCACGAAAGCGGAAGCAGCGGTCGAGCACCTGCGAGCCCACAGCTAAGCGACAACAATCACGACGCTCGGGTCGTATCTCACCTTCAGCTCCCACCGGTCTAGGTACGATCCGTTGCTTACCTAGCGCTCGAGCAAGGTATCATATTAACGCGTATCCACCGGCATACAGACCTCGCGGATGACCATGCGATGTTTGGATCTGTTTGGCGAGTTCTAAGTGCGGCTGGTTGGAGTTCAAAGCGTCCAACAGGGCGAAGCTTGAGTGATCTGTACCGCTATATCCGTCCCGGTGGTGACTCGAATGGAGCAGAGGGTATCGACTATTATCTGGGTGAACGAGCGCTTTTGGAGCACTATCGGCGGACATTGGTAGTGGAGGATGGTGATACGGATGGTGCCCTGTCCAGGCGACCCGATGACGAAATTGATGTCGACCAAAACAACGTTAATATATGTGGGGCTGGCGATGTTGGTCTCAACGCGGCAGATGATGTACGTGGTAGTAGCGGCGGAGTTCCTGGAGCGAGTGCAAACGACGTTGATTGTGAGAAAGCCGCACTTCCGGGAGTAAGCTGTGTTTGATGGTGCCGCCAGCACCTCTCAGGATTATGATGGTGCTGCCTCTGCTGTATCTACACCGCCAACATCAGCGCGCGTCGTACCCGTACATGCAGCAGCTACGCGAGACCATTTACTCCAGCTAGATCACCACGCACCCACCGCATCGTCTGGTACATGTGCGCAATGTACAGTCTGCAATATGGAGTGTTCAACCGAGCGCAGTTGTACCTGGTGCAAAAAATTTCTCCATCACTTCTGCTCTCATGATGTCTGCGTTTCGTTGAATATCCCAGACCCTAATGGTGGATTCGCCAAGGATTTCGGTGATAGCAGCTATTGCAGCACGCTTTGCAACACAAACGCTACAAAAATGAACTTGGTGGACCAAGGGAGAAGTGATGAACGACCCAATGCCCTACTTGACCTCCCCGCGAGTGTTTTGACGCCAAGTGTGGCTCCGTCGGAACCTGCAGAGACCAACGCCGCCACACATCCTGCTACAAATTGCTCGGGGGCAGCAGAACCTAAGCGAAAAAAGCGCGGTCCTGCCGAACAATCAGCTCCAAAGGCACCCCGAAGCGAAAACCAAGGTGCGCAACGGAAAACGAAAAGCAAGAAGGCACCTACCAAGGCCAGTAAACCCAAGGCTGTGGCAATGAAAGAAGAGTTGATTCGCCGAGCACATGCGGCTGCCGTAAAATTTGTTGATGCTAGCGTAGCATTTTCACCGGCTGATGAGGAGTGGATGCCGCTCAGTTTGTAACGCGACGTTGGCGCAGTATTTTTGATTAGTGTGGTGACTCGCTACAGCCTGGCAAGCGAAAAATATGCTGACAATGTTAGCGTTCCTCACGACAAATTTCAGGTTCAATGGACGTGTACTGCTTTTCAAATAAAAGATCACGTTCACCATGTTTCCGAAGCCATCATCACCCGTGGTATCCGCCAGTTTGCCAACATGGAAAAAGACAAACTTCAATTTGGAGAGTCTTGGACGTCCCTGTGCAACATTGTCCCCAAACTATCAAACATTCCTGCACTGACAGATGAATTTGAGGAGATGGACGAGCGTGGTTATCGTGAGTGGTTTGCGTTTCGCGGGCGGAAAGAATTGCAGCGCCCTTTGTGCCCTGGTGAAGTCGGAGAGATAGCGTCAATGACATTTTCACCCACAGCATCGCTTGGCCAACCGTCAGGGCTATTTACACATCCGGATGGGATCCTCTGGTACATGACTCTGTTCGACAAGGGTGAGATGAGAAATTACTGGGTGGACGACGAGGAAGCAACTATTTTTTCCTGGAGCGCGTACTACTAGTTTGAAGTCAATTATGACATGGCGAAGATTCCTGTACATCCGTAAGAATTTGAGTTTTCGTTCCAAGGTGTCTACCTCCGACATCAAGCGCGGTCCTGTAGCTAGAATACGACCACTCATGAGCATTCTGAAATCGCGATGCCTGCGCCATGTTGAAGTCGGTCGAAACGTGGCTGTTGATGAGGCCACAATTGCCTGCCGATCCCAGTACGCCCGCCACATTATAGTCTTCAACCCACAAAAACCCACCGGAAAGTATCATTTTAAGTTATACGTGTGTTGCTGTTCTACCTCGTGGTACGCGGTGAGTTTCAAGTTGCACTGCTCCAGTGAACTTGATGATCGGCTGGACGGTGTAATTTCACGCTCAGAAGTGCAGAAATTCGCTGATCAAACCGTGAAGTCGTCTGAAATCCGCTCTCACGTCATGGCGGTTACTTCATCTTGGAAAGGATCCAGTCGCATTGTAAACACGGACAACTTCTACACTTCTTGTTTGCTGTTGAAGACTTTACGATCGATTGGTCTCTATGGTCGTGGCACTGTACGCACATCTAGCAAGCATTTCCCTCATTTTACGATGATTCGTAAGGAGGACGCGAAGCCGCGAGGCTACATGAAGCAAGGTGTATGCTTAGAGAAGCATATTGTCGCAGCTAGTTGGGTGGATGGCTCAATTGTCAATGTCGTGTCTAATGCCGATGCTTCGACCACATCAACTGTGCATCGTCGTATAAATGAATCGGGTGTGGCTTTCACTGCTCCTACTTGCGTCGGCGAGTATAATTCAGCGATGCAAGGTGTTGATCGGCTCGACCAACTGCGTGCACGATTTTCTCTAGCCGATGGCCACTCATTTCAGAAGTGGCATAAAAAACTAGCGATGGTTATGCTTGATATAGCCAGGTGCAATGCCTACATTTGCGATAGTTTGGCGCGTGGTGAGAGCGAGGAGTCTCGTTCGACGGGAGGTACAGCCCAAACGAGGTCAAGGGCCCGCGATAGTCATCGCGCATTTGTGGCATCACTGGTTCGAGAACTGTTCAATGGGGACTGGAAGAAATCTCTGGATAGGGAACATGGAATGATGTATGCTGCGAAGCCGACAACGACAACAATGCCGATGACGACCCAAACAGCGGCATCGACAGATGTATCCGAGTCTTCGGGCGATCACGCACAAACGTGTGTTGCAAGAGCGTCCTCGGAGGTGCTTCAGGGAAGGAGTCGCTCAATGCGGAAATGCACTGTGTGCAAGTTCGAGGGCAGAGATCCTACCGAGAAAACCGACTACTGCGAGACCCATCGAGTTGCGTTGTGCAAGCGCACATACCCTGTTGACCCTACGAAGCAGCATCTGTGCCAACAGCAAACTTGGACTTGCTGGCAGAAATACCATTTGTTTTACTTGCCGAAGCAAGTGTACACTATCGACGGCAACTTGCGACGAACCTCTCCAATTTATGTAGCTAACCGTCCATTTCTGAAGGCCCGCCAAGACCAAAAGAAGGCTAACGCAGCCACCAAGGCGTAACCTCACATCATTTTTTCAAGATAGTCAAAGTCAACTAACCATTTATACTTCACTGCACTAAGTCACACCTATTCCATCTGCCCCCGCTAGTCTTGATGCCGTAAATGCGGATTTAGCTCGTGGCTGACAACATACTGCTTTACCACTGGTGCACCATAGCGGCAAGCTAACCACACTCCACTGCGTATAATCCGACAGGATGCTATTAGAAATTCCACGCGCCTCCAAGCCGAACAATAACTCCCAACTGTGTATATGTCAGCGAAGACGCCTCAGACCACATCCAGCACGGCCACGTTCGCCACCACCACATCTGAGGTCATGCTGCTGACGGCGCTGCCACGGCCGCTGCCCTCGCTGCCCGAGTCGCCCGCTACCATTGCGTCCGACTCCGTGCTGACGAAGTTGCCTCCGATCTCCTCCCGTACGGACACGATCTCTACAAAGGACGTCATGCTGTTGATGCCGCTGACGGTACTGCTGGCACCTCTACAACGGTCTCCTTCCGCACTGTCGATGCATTTACGCACGCTGTCTGGTCACCGGTCACATCCTTGCCAACCTCCGCGCCGGTGGAGGCACCCACGACCACCTCCAGCACGACAACGGTCACGCCCAAGCGTCCGTGGTCATGATGTTGCCGGCGCACACACGGCGCTGCGACCGCCGTTATGCTTGCTGCCCGAGTCCCCCGCCACCATCGCGTCCGTGTCCGTGTCCATGTCGGCGGAGACGCCCCTGACCGCGTCCTCCAAGGCCACGGTCACCTCCATCGTGTCCGAGACCCTGCTGCCGATATCGCTGGCGGCACTGCTGCCGCTACTTCCGGCGGCGACCTGTGTGCGGCTGCCGCTGGCGTTGTGCTCGACGATCGCATTAGTGTTGATAGATATACTACAGAAGACACAATAGCGTGGGTTTTTACCTATCCCTCTTAGCTGTATGATTGGTCATAAACGGCGAGGAAACTGCCGTGGCTCAGAAAATTGCTGTTTCAGTTATCTTGCTACTACATCACCAGTAAAAAGATACTTGATGTATCATTCTGGTAACGATAGGGTTAAGCTATCTACCGTTTTTTTGGGAGCCCCGGAGGTTGCTGGGGTCGACAAATTGTTTCAGATAATTCATCATAGGAAGATTTCTCGCTGATCGTCGCCATTCTTCGTCTTCCGAAGCTCCTCGCTCAACTGAGTGAATACGCTCTCGTCGACGAACGCAGCCAAAGTGTCGGAGTCCAACTCGCTGGATGTCCACCTGCAAAGCAGCACAGCAGTACACAGTCAGCAAAGTGGCAGTAGTATCATGGCGGCGGTGGCGAGAATGGGGGCATGCCTGCTACTGTCTTACCCCGTACCAGACGCCCAGGCATTGAAATAAAATAGAACGCCTACTAGGCGGTCTATCCGAATACAACGCCTAGGCGTTCTAATAGTGTGAAAAACTAAAACTCTGAGGCCCTGGTGTCCATAACGTATATATCGCCGCGATACTCTACTTTCACATCGTTCGTATTGCGTCAAAAACGCAGTAGGAAAACGTCGAGAAATCCTGCAGTTGTCGAGTACTACAAGCAGCGCGCGACGCCCGGCGGCCTCATCATCGCCGAGGCAACCAACATCACGCCCACGGGCCGCGGATCCTGGGGCTCCCCTGACATCTTCGCGCCCCAGCAGATCGAGGCTTGGCGCCACGTGACCAAGGCCGTGCACAGCAAGATGTTCCTGCAGTTGTCGGACTACCGCACGGCCGCGGAGAACGCCCTCAAATCGGGCTTCGACGGCGTCGAGCTGCACGCCGCCAACGGCTACTTGCTGGAGCAGTTCCTGCACGACGGCATCAACGACCGCACCGACCAGTACGGCGGCAGCGTCGAGAACCGCGCGCGCTTCCTGTTCGAGGCACTGGAGGCCATCCTCGAGAGTCTGGACTCGTCCAAGGTGGGCATCCGACTGTCCCCGTTCGGCGGCAGCTTCGGCGACAAGGACTCGGACCCCATCGCCACCTACACGTACGTGCTGAACAGGCTCAACAACTACGACCTGGCCTACGCGCACCTGATCGAGCCGCGTGGCTACCACGTGCGCAACCCGCTGGCACCCGAGAAGGGCTCGGCGCGGCAGTTCCGCGAGACGTACAAGGGCGTGCTCCTCGCCGCGTCGGGCTTCGACCGGCAGTCGGCCGTGCAGATCGTGGAGGAGGGCGCGGCCGACGCCGTGGCCATCGGCCGCCACTTCATCTCGAACCCGGACCTGGTGCGGCGCTTCCAACTCAACAAGCCCGTGAACGACTACGACACGGACACGTTCTACCTCGGCGACGCGCGCGGGTACATGGACTATAATACCCGTTCCTGCAGGACGAGTAGGTAGAGCAGTAAAGACGACGTAGACAGCAAAAGACGTGCTACTTCCGTAAGACTGCAAGGTGAAGCGTACTGGAGGTGGCTGCGTACTCTCAAGTAAAACAAATTGTTGGTAGTTAAAACTAGTTGCTGCAGGCACCAGGCACGTACTGTTACTGCCTCGGTGTGGGCTTGGGCGTCTTGTTGGATCACTTGGCGCGTTTAGTGGGACGGCTTCTTCACCCTCTTGGTTTTCACGTGCTCGTTTCTTGGATGTTTCCGTCTCGCCACCTTGATCGCCTAGTGGCCCTCACCACTGCCACCAACGTCACTCTCAGCGTCACTCTTCTTCCTTGTCACCCGGCGCGTACGCTAGTGCTTTACGGGCGTTCTGCAACAACTTGTCGCGCGTCGCGGTAAGCGACAACTTCGCATACGAACTAACGTCCTTGTTTCGTTTTTCATCTTCATCGCGATAGTCCAGGTCGCCCTCCACAAGCCCCAGCGGGTCATACTGAGACTCCACCATGTTTGATAGAATGGAAGCTACGCCGTCGCTCAGGAACGGGTAGGTGACCCTGTTGAGTAAACGGAGGCAGATCGTGAAAACAGGATCCTCCTCCGAGACACTCGACACACTTGAGACGCCAGGATTGCTCTCGATCTTCGCCCGCTTCTTCGCCTGACTCCCGATCGTCTGACTCTCCTCCTTCACCTCAGAGGCGTTGCCTTTCTTCTTGGGCTTAAGATTGTCTTTCATTGTCGTGGCATAGATGAACTTGCCGTCACGCGTTCTACCGCGCACATTCATGTAGATGCGAATGGTATCACGGACATCCGTGGAACCCAGCGGTTTCGGATCCCTACCAATTTCATCAGTAGATTTCCCCGCTGACGAGTTCCCATCACTGTTCTTTCCGAACACAAACCAGGGGCATAGTTTCTCCGTCACTGCCCTGGAAAACCCACCATCGACTGGGGAACGATTCTTCACTTGAATCAACATCATCAACACTTCCTGCTCCTCTTGTTCACCCCTCGTTGTCTCCCCACCGACTGGCCTGCTGTTGGATCTCTTCTTAAACATCGGGATCAACAAATCGGCTCCATACTGGTTACGGGGGAAAATACCTGCAGCTTGACGCCCCAGCAAAAACCAAAGCGTGTCCTCATTCGGCTCAAGCTGCAACTGCACAAAGTGGGTGAACCCCATGTACCAACCATCCCACTTCGAGCACCACTTGTTGAATTCTGGTCTCAAATTCTCCTTGCTGATCATCCGCTTGAGATATATCGGCAGCTTTTTCTTGCCTTGTAGCACCTTCAAGAATTGCTGCACCGGTACAAATTGCCCGATCGTGTGGCACCACTGGGAAAAGTCTTTGTCCCCCATCACACACGTGTCCATCGCCAGAAGCAGCAAAATCCGAGCAACCATCTCGCCAATTTCGCCAACTCCACCGGTGTCCAATGCTTCATCCAAAAGGAGGTTCTTGAGTTGCGGCAGGATATACTTTGCCAGACCATATTTCAGTTCATACCACACTTTCATCGCTCCTAAGGCGAGCACTGGGTCCGAAGCGTAGCTGGTGACGTAACCTTCTCGCTTGAAATTCACATAGGCGAGAATCGCCATGAAGTCGGCAGTCGCCCGAGATGCCAGAGCCGACGTTGAATGCGGGCGCACGCCCAGACGGCAAAGCATGGAGGCGACACCAAGCATGGTATCCTTGTTGTACGCATTTTGCGAAGGGGGAATCCCCAGTAGCAGTTTATTCGCCGCAAGATTGATCACATCTTCTCTATCCGCAGGATTGGGGCAAGTGCTGTACCACATCGGACGCCCCATGCGGCACAACGCGTGCCAAGCTTGACTCGCATCCCCGGTAACGATTCTCTTGTACATAGCTATCTTAGCACGTTCTTGCTGTTTCTTCTTCTCTTCGTCTTTTTCAGCTCCCACCGCAACCTGAGTTTCCTCTTCCATTTCTTCATCTTCTGCTCCCGCATCTAGTATTTCCTCTTTCATTTCTTCATCTACATCTTGGATGTCCTCTTTCACATCTTCGCCGGCTTGTTTTTCTTCACAGTATTGATCCCAGTGTGCGTCCATTGTCTCAGCTAACACAACTGGCGCAAACGATGCCAACTCTCCATCGAAAAGCCGAGATGATGGGTCCAACAACAGCGGAGGCGCCAGGTCCGAGATCCTGGAGTTCGTATCAATCAGCACGCCGAAAATGCATCCACGATGGCCGATATCTTTGTTCACGGATCTGAGAGCATTTCGCAACATTCGGAAGTCATTCTTCTTGTCTGGCTTCTCAGTCAGCAGGCTTCTCGCTTCATCGATCACCAGAACCACGATTCTGCCATTTGGATTCTTCTCGGTGGAGGTATCCCCCTCCAGCGTATCTGTTTCATCCGAAAGTTTCGCCTTTACAGAGGTGTCCGCTGCCTTTTCGGTAAACAGCTTCAGCCATTCCTTCTGAACGTCCGCCCAATGCTTGTTCGCGTAGACGTAAATTGTCTTCAATCGACTGGCGATGTCTTCCACTTCGGAGCCTTCTTGAAACAGCCAACCACGAAGCTCGCTCGTAGCCTTGGGAAACCCCGTCGACTCGTGCACACGAGCACACATGTACAGGACTTTCATGTTCAAGGCGCTCTTTTGAGCCTCGATCGCGAGCTCACGCATCGTCCGACTCTTGCCGAAGCCAGAACTCTGCACGACCGCCACACATGGCGCCTTGTACTTTGTGGGGGTGTAGGCCTTCCAGCAGTCCCGCAGATACTGTGCGAGGTCGAGGTGGGCTTCGCCGAGGTACCGGCCCTTGATGAACGCCTCCGCGATTCGCTTCATTTCATTTTCATCCAACTTGGGCGTGCCAGAGCGGGCTTCAGGGACAAACTTTGCCAGGAGGTCTTTCACCGTCTTGGCCGCAATAGTTTGTGCAAGAGGTCGAGACACGCGTGTATGCCCGTATGCTCTTCTGATCTCCACCCGTATCAATTTCTGTATCTCTTTCTGGGAGGCCTCGAGTTGGAGTGTGGCTTTGTTGGGATAGTCGTCCAGCATCCACGCAACGAAAAGATTTTTCTTCGGCGATGCGTCTGCTCCAAGCTTCCCGCTCATCTGAGCAAAGACACTGTCGTCCACGAACGCGGCCAAAGCCTGGGGATCCAAGTGGCTGGACATGTCCATCTGCAGCAGCACAGCAGTACACAGTCAGCAATGCGGCAGTAGTATCATGACGACGTTGGCAAGGGCGCGGGCATGCCTGCTAGTCCCGGTGGGCGGTGGCGCTACAGGACAAGGCTTGGAGGGGAAATGTGGAAATGGCCGGTTGGATTTTTCTTCCCTCAGTTTTGTACCAGAAACACGGTACCGCATCTACGTGATATACAGTGCGCGCCGAAATTATAACCGCACCCCAAAAATTATTTTTTTAAACCAATACGATAGAAAACAGATGCAACAATCAGAATCGAAAAAGCTGTAACCGTTTTTTTGCAATGGACGAAAAACCGACTTTGGGTCGGGTCAAAATTATAGCCGCACCCGGTAAGCTATCGGTAAGATTGGTAACAAACTCGTGGAGAGCTGTTCCAAGCGTAATAAATGAACTAACTCCATTGAACAGCTCGAATAACGCCTACCGGTACAGTAAAGTGCGTCGATAAGGAACGCCTGATATACATTGAAAGAAAAAGGTATATTGATAATTAAAGGTTTGACTCGTCACATGCAGACAGCAAATGCACTGATTTACTGCACTATGTAGTTCATGTCGGACTTCGCGACCAGAGTCTCGGCTTCGAGCCCACGCAGCCAACTCAGCATAGGTAGCACCCGGTAGATCACGACGGCGATGACAGATTAGCAGCGACTGAAGCTTGGTCAGACGTAGCCGCCTCTGGAACGGTCTGGAAGTGGCGGTCACCATGGGAGTTGTGAGCAGCAGAGCGAAAGTTGGTTAATGAGGCATGCAGACATGTACGTGGCGCGATTCCCGCGCTCACAGCGATCCTCATGCTCATGATTCCCTCTCGCGACCTTTAGGTTCCATTTCCCCCGACTTGGGAGCCGCTCCATCCAGCCGCTCTTAAGGCTCGGTTTCGGAACTGTGATTGGCGGAATGTTAAACGGGACCGAATGATTGGTAGAATCATATAACTAATTCAGTACAATTGGCACACAATGGGTACAAGCGAGGATTCATGTCTTGTCGTAGAATATAAAATGTCGCCCGTTCCTTATCGACGCACTTCACTGTAGTAAGCTGCTCAAATAAGGTTAAGCTGACGCGGTTGATAAGATTCAATGGAGACACGCACTATCTTGAATTTGTATAGAAGAGTGGTGTTTGACAGTGTGGAGAGGTCTATACTCGTAAGTTGAGGCTGTCAGCTGACTAGTGTCTTCATTGGCGTCTATTCAACATGGTAGCGATGCTGGGCTTGCTCAGTTCAGCAACATGTACCAGAAAACTCGATCGATTTTTTTCCGGGTCAATACAAATCCTTTATACTTGATGTTTGTATTGGAAAGCACCGCCAAACCCAGTCACAAATTTCAATCAAGTCTAGTCCCGTACAGTGCGTAGTTTGGTAAATACATGGCTACGTATCAAAAGTAGAGTATTTCTTCCTGAAAATAATGCCCGAGTTTTGCTTCCAGAATCCTCCTAGTGTTGTCTCGGAAGTCCGGCCAAATTGCCACCAAGTGTTTAGTGCGCTTTATGGTATTAATAAATGTGCGAACAATAACTTCGGCGATGCGGTACATACCATAGGTAAGATACGACCACACGGGCCGCATCGGCCCCAGCCGGGCGGCGTCCTGCCTGTGTCGTCCAGCTCCAAGCTCGAGAACATCCGCGCCGGCAAGAAGATCGTCACGCGCGAAGGACGCATGGAGCCCGTGCCGCCGCGCGCGCTCGAGACGAGCGAGATCCCGGGCATCGTGGCGGACTACCGCTCGGCCGCGGAGAACGCCATCAGCGCGGGCTTCGACGGCGTCGAGCTGCACGCCGCCAACGGCTACTTGCTGGAGCAGTTCCTGCACGACGGCATCAACGACCGCACCGACCAGTACGGCGGCAGCGTCGAGAACCGCGCGCGCTTCCTGTTCGAGGCACTGGAGGCCATCCTCGAGAGTCTGGACTCGTCCAAGGTGGGCATCCGACTGTCCCCGTTCGGCGGCAGCTTCGGCGACAAGGACTCGGACCCCATCGCCACCTACACGTACGTGCTGAACAGGCTCAACAACTACGACCTGGCCTACGCGCACCTGATCGAGCCGCGTGGCTACCACGTGCGCAACCCGCTGGCACCCGAGAAGGGCTCGGCGCGGCAGTTCCGCGAGACGTACAAGGGCGTGCTCCTCGCCGCGTCGGGCTTCGACCGGCAGTCGGCCGTGCAGATCGTGGAGGAGGGCGCGGCCGACGCCGTGGCCATCGGCCGCCACTTCATCTCGAACCCGGACCTGGTGCGGCGCTTCCAACTCAACAAGCCCGTGAACGACTACGACACGGACACGTTCTACCTCGGCGACGCGCGCGGGTACATGGACTATAATACCCGTTCCTAGGTAGAGCAGTAAAGACGACGTAGACAGCAAAAGACGTGCTACTTCCGTAAGACTGCAAGGTGAAGCGTACTGGAGGTGGCTGCGTACTCTCAAGTAAAACAAATTGTTGGTAGTTAAAACTAGTTGCTGCAGGCACCAGGCACGTACTGTTACTGCCTCGGTGTGGGCTTGGGCGTCTTGTTGGATCACTTGGCGCGTTTAGTGGGACGGCTTCTTCACCCTCTTGGTTTTCACGTGCTCGTTTCTTGGATGTTTCCGTCTCGCCACCTTGATCGCCTAGTGGCCCTCACCACTGCCACCAACGTCACTCTCAGCGTCACTCTTCTTCCTTGTCACCCGGCGCGTACGCTAGTGCTTTACGGGCGTTCTGCAACAACTTGTCGCGCGTCGCGGTAAGCGACAACTTCGCATACGAACTAACGTCCTTGTTTCGTTTTTCATCTTCATCGCGATAGTCCAGGTCGCCCTCCACAAGCCCCAGCGGGTCATACTGAGACTCCACCATGTTTGATAGAATGGAAGCTACGCCGTCGCTCAGGAACGGGTAGGTGACCCTGTTGAGTAAACGGAGGCAGATCGTGAAAACAGGATCCTCCTCCGAGACACTCGACACACTTGAGACGCCAGGATTGCTCTCGATCTTCGCCCGCTTCTTCGCCTGACTCCCGATCGTCTGACTCTCCTCCTTCACCTCAGAGGCGTTGCCTTTCTTCTTGGGCTTAAGATTGTCTTTCATTGTCGTGGCATAGATGAACTTGCCGTCACGCGTTCTACCGCGCACATTCATGTAGATGCGAATGGTATCACGGACATCCGTGGAGCTCAGCGGGTTCGGATCCCCACCAATTTCACCGGTAGATTTCCCCGCTGACGAGTTCCCATCACTGTTCTTTCCGAACACAGACCAGGGGCATAGTTTCTCCGTCGCTGCCCTGGAAAACCCACCATCGACTGGGAAACGATTCTTCACTTGAATCAACATCATCAACACCTCATGCTCCTCTTGTTCACCCCTCGTAGTCTCCCCACCGACTGGCCTGCTGTTGGATCTCTTCTTAAACATCGGGATCAACAAATCGGCTCCATACTGGTTACGGGGGAAAATACCTGCAGCCTGAAAGCGTGTCCTCATTCGGCTCGAGCTGCAACTGCACAAAGTGGGTGAACCCCACGTACCAACCATCCCACTTCGAGCACCACTCGTTGAATTCTGGTCTCTTATCTTCCGCGTTGTACATCCCCTTACAATATATCGACATCTCCTCGTGGCCTGTTAGCACGTTCAAGAAATCCTGCACCGGTACAAATTGCCCGATCGTATGGTAGCACTGGGAAAAATCTTTGTCCCCCATCACACACGTGTCCATCGCTAGAAGCAGCAGAATGCGAGCAACCATCTCGCCAATTTCGCCAACTCCACCAGTGTCCAACGCTTCATCCAAAAGGAGGTTCTTGAGTTGCGGCAGGATATACTTTGCCAGACCATATTTCAGTTCATACCACACTTTCATCGCTCCTAAGGCGAGCACTGGGTCCGAAGCGTAGCTGGTGACGTAACCCTCTCGTTTGAAGTTCACATACGCGAGAATCGCCATGAAGTCAGCGGGGGCCCGAGATGCCAAAGCCGACGTCGAATGCGGTCGAACACCCAGTCGACAAAGCATGGAGGCGACACCAAACATGGTATCCTTGTTGTACGCATTTTGCGAAGGGGGAATCCCCAGTAGCAGTTTATTCGCCGCGAGATCAATCACGCGAACTTTATGAGCTGGATCGGGGTAAGTGCTGTACCACATCGGGCGGCCCATGCGCCTCAACGCCTCCCAGGCCTGACCGTCACTTCCAGTTACGACGGTCTTGTACATGGCTATCTTAGCACGTTCTTGCTGTTTCGTTTTCTCTTCGTCTTCAGCTCCCACCGCAACTTGGGTTCCCTCGTTTATCTCTTCATCTTCAAAGTAGTCATCCCAGTGTGCGTCCATCGTATCAGCTAGTACAAGCGGCGCGAACGATGCCAAACTACCTCCAGATTTCCGAGAAGATGGGTCCAACAACAGAGGCGGCGTCAGGTCCGAGATCCTGGAGTTCGTATCAATCAGCACGCCGAAAATGCCTCCTTCGGGGCCGATATCTTCGTTAGCGGATTTAAGAGCATTTCGCAACATACGAAAATCGTTCTTCTTGCCATCCACCTCAGCCAGCAGACTTCTCGCTTCATCGATCACCAGAACCACCATTTTGCCATCTGGATCCTTCACGGTGGAGGTACCCGTAGTTTGGATAAAGGTGTCCGGTACGGATGCTGAATCGGACGCCTGTATCATTTCTGTTTCTTTCAAAAGCTTGGCCGCACACGGAACTGTCAGTTGCATTGTCGATAAACAGCTCCAGCCATTCCGTCTGAACGTCCGCCCAATGATCTTTCGCATAGCAGTAAATCGCCTTCAATCGCCTGGCGACCTCTTGCACTGAGGAGGCGGCAGGGTCAAACAGCCAATCACGAAGCTTACTCGTAGCCTCCGGAAACCCCGTTGATCGGTGCACACGCGCGCACATGTACAAAACTTTCAGGTTCAAGTTCGGTTCTCGTTCTGCCTTGAGCGCAAGCTCACGCACTGTCCGACTCTTGCCGAAGCCGGAACTCTGCACAACCGCCACACATGGCGCCTTGTACTTTGCAGAGTTGTACTCTTTCCAGCAGTCCCGCAGGTATTCTGCGAGGTCGTCTTGGGCCTTGCCGACGTACGTGACTTTAGTGAACGCATCCGAGAGTCGAATCATTTCGTCTTCACCCAGCTTGGTGATGAGGGGGTTGTCTTCCGGAACAAACTTTGCCAGGAGGTCTTTCACCGTCTTGACCGTAATGGTTTCCGCAAGATCGACCGTCACGTCTGGGTACTCGTATACGATTCTGATCTTCACCTCCAAGCATCCCTTAAATTCTTGCTGAGAGACCCGGAGTCCCGCGTCGCGATATTTTTTCAAATACTCATCGATGCGAAGAGGCTTCTTCTCCAGTGCTCCCTCGTTGCCTTCCTTCGCGTCCCCCAGTTTCGCGCTCAACTGAGTGAAGACGCTGTCGTCCACGAATGCGGCTATCTCCTCGACTCCAAGCTGGAGATAGCAGAGCGGCAGTGTTGTGGTTTGGCGAGAGAGTGCGACTTCTCTTTAATGTAGACCACATATTCGCTTTAATTGGACATAATCACTATGTAGTTTCTGTTTTTATTGGACAAAAGTATTAAGGCGCACATCTCGCCAGGTTTATTATAATAACACATATTGTACTTTTTGGCACTTCAGACTGTATTTGTGCTTTGCAATGATTTTGGCAATATGAGGCGAGATTTGCTGTATTATTACGACCACCTGCTAGATTTACGATAAATCGAGGTGCATAAATGGGTGGAGGCCTAGAATTACGCTAAAAGCGCCACAATTGCACTTTCAAAAGTGCAATTGTGGCTGTGCAGCTGCAATTCTGTCGGTTTTTATCCACAAGCACCTACACACACGGCAATTATGCATAAGAGGGTGGATGTGCTGGGGATCATGGACGGTGGTGTTCTGGGCCAATGCATGGCTGCTGACAGGCCCTCCCAAGTCGATATATATATGAGGAGGTGGATTTATGCATAATTTTAATAGGGGGTTCAACAACAGCTCAGAGCTCACCTCCCCGCTCTGCTCGACGTCGTCGTGTTTTCTCGGCACCAGCTCCCCCAACGGTGATCGACATTACGGGGGAGGAGGACCAAGACGAGGACCTATCAACTTGCGCCATTTACTAGTACGCGCCAGTGGCGCCGGTCACCCCGCGCTGCTGACATGCCATGTGTGCCGAGTGCATGTCAATGTACGTGGCGAGAAGCATTCAGGCCGAAGATGTAGCTAACGGCCCTACGTGTAGAGTTCCCATTCGGATGTAGCCATCCGGCTAGCCATACAGCTTTATTTTCTTCATTTTTGAGTAATTAAAAATATTTTTTTTCACTTTATTTTGATGAAATGGTCTAAGCAGCAAATGATAATAAATTTGTTGTATATACTTCTTTCATTTACATTGCGTCAGTATCAATAATAGCGCACAAGAACGAGTTGTATTACTGGGAAGTAAAGTCGTACGATCGTGCGAATTGTTGCTATGGAATACCAATTTTCGTCAAGTCACAGTAAGCATCAAAGTAACACATTCGTACGATATTACAGATATAATATCTTTCACTTAAGTTTATCCTTGCAGTATATTATCTATCCTTGAACTATCACGTGTATAATACTTTCCTTCGATCCAAGTTCTATTAAAGGTAAATAAGAATTTTATGATATCATTTTCGTACGAGAAGAATTTTAAGAAAACCAAGGTCCGTTCTCGACGTATTGACACTAAGAATTCGAAATGTAATTTTTGCTTTGTTATGCTTTTGCAAAGACTTACGACTCTACTGCATACGTCTTGCAGCTCTAGTATTGTTGAGTCATAGCAATGGCAGGCGACGCCGCAGAACCTGGTCGTGCAGACCTGCGTTTGTTCTTCGGCTTTGGACCCGGCTTCATGCCACGCTTCCCTAAGTCAGCTTCAGTGACGATGACTTCAGGTACTAGCAGTTGAAGATCCTGAGCGATGGTCGCCGAGCGGACGGTCGGGACAAACTGGTAGTAATATGTCCACCGCGCGACCGACACGGTGTGTTCCTTCCAGGCGAAAAGCTCGCTCACGTGCATTCCGTGATGAATTGCAGCTTTGACTGCATGGACACGGGAACATCAGGTCTTGCCAGCGTCGGCACGTTGCATTCCTTCTCGATCAAGTTCACGGTTCGCCACAGATGGGCGTGGTCCGGTCTGCTGCTGATGTCCGTGAATCGCACCATGTACTGGCCATCAAGGCACGGCAAAATCTGCAGGGTTTTCGTAAGAGCCATGATCCCGTCGAGCTTCTTCTTGTAGGTGGGAAGGAGAAAGTCCGAGAAGGCTGCAGGGGTGGTCCTCATCACGTCAATCTCGCAATCGTCGTACGGCTCACCTTGGGAGGTGCTTGCGTGTCCTGCGTTGCTACCTGGACCCTTCTGTCGCGAGGAGGTGCGGCGCCTTTCGGCGAACAGCTCAAACACCTTGACGAAGTATTGCTCGAAAGCTTCCAAGGGGTAGGACGACCGCACTGCATTGCCCAACCAACTGTTCGCTGCCTCGGACAGGTTGGAAGTGACCTCGTCATAAGAGGGTTGGTTGTACTTCTCGTTGAACGCGTATGTCACCCAGTGCGACTTGTCAATTCCAGCGAGATACTCCACAGCCAAAGGGCGAGTCTCCGAGAGTTTTGAGCTGTAAAACTTGTAGTCGTTCTCGCATTCGCTACGTGCCATCTGAAACACAAGTGACTGTTCTGCCGGCGTCAGCGCGGAGCCCTTCTTCTCGATGTTGGTGATAATGTGCCCAACGCAAAATCGATGTCCGGAATCCGGATACAACTCCGTCACAGACGCCAGGAGACCCTTCTGTCTGTCCGATACGAACACAGGTTTCCACGCCGAGACGTCTTGAAGCGCGTCTTTCATGTTCTGCAGGAACCAGCTCCAATGAGTAATCCTCTTGATCGACAATAGCGAGTCCGATAACTAGGATGTGGATGTGGTATAGCGGGATCGGCCAAAATCTGGTGAAGATCGAATATATTGGCGTGACGCGGGGATAGGTTGTGGAGCAGCGCGGGAATCTTCGCTCTGCGTCCGAGTATACGCTCCGATCGAGGGTTGTTCGCTCCGATCGGTCGGCCTGGAGTCGATCCACGGCCTGTAGTTGCCTTTCCGGATGTGTTCCTTCCTTTCGTGAGCTGCTTGCCGCTTCCTATAGCGGGATCGAGGTTGATCGAGAGGAGAAACGATCGCCGGCCAAGCAGTATCCGGTCGATCGAGAGTTCGCACACAAGAAATAGATCGCTAGAGTAGGTCAAGCTGGCCAATGTATTAATCCAGTCTTAACCGTACCACTAGCTCACTGTCCAAAGTGTCGATGCTTGCCGAGGCCAATGTAGTTCCAGGGACTTGACGACTTGAGGGACTTGTGCTCTTCGGTGCAAATTCTGCTCTAATTTATGTTTAGCTGGTGTCTCGCTACCACTACCATCTCACCTACCATCCTACAACTAAACAACTACTGGATTCTTGTCCTGGCTTCGCCCCCATGTGCTCCCCATCTTGGCTGATCGGCGATCGACGATCGACGATCCACAGCTCTCGATCGCGATCAGTCCACTTCGGTCTTCAGCCGTCCCACTCTACGATGTCGCTCGTTGATCTTGCCCTCGTGCATGACGTCCTTCGCTTTCGACATGCGCCCTTCGCACCGCGCCTCTTCGATCGGTGTGGGACGAGGCATCACCACTCTCCATGTGTCGATCAGCTTTGATCTACCTGGTTCCACACCCCGCCTACGTGCGAGTATCATCCCGGTGCCTCGATCGCTCGTCGAATCTCCTCGATCTCCGCAATCCCAGTCTTGTTCAGGTCGCCCTTCTCTCGATCATTGATCCCCTTGATTTTTGGTCGATCGTTTATGCCGCATTTCTCAGAGAACAAATCTTGTTCTCGCGCTTCTCCACATGGCCTTTTAGGTCCTTCGTGGTCGCCAACAGAAACACTCCGCGCTTGTTCATATCACCCTTGAGATGTGTTCCGTCCAGGCCGATGACGTGTCGGCAGTGTACTTGAAGGCATGCCCCTAGAAAAACGCAAGCCCTT